AATGTTTGTCTAAATAAAATCAACTCGGGACTGAAACGATGAAAATTTAATTAAGATTTGACGAATCCCTTCATCGATTATTCTACATAACGTTCCATAAAATAGCACTCAATATATTTGTGGTATATGTTCTTATGTTGGCAGATATAAGTAGTATGTAACAACAGTTGGAAGTAGAATGTCTGCGAGCAGAAGCTTGAAAAGATTGAAATGAGGAGATAACTGAAAACTGAAAACCATCAAGATAACAATAGAAATGAAAGAACAATTAAACTTGTCTTCCCCACCTGAGTGTTCATTTATTACATATTTATTCATACAGCTACTTAAAGATTACTTGAATTCACTAACACCAATTCCTTTTAACTATAATTTATACCGCAATAATTCAATTAATTTACCTGTAGACTAGAGATTATTTAGGTTGTTTCATTTTTTTCTTTATGATTTATGTTTAATAACTTATCTACTCAAAAACTGACATAAACAAAGTATAATATTCTAATAACTTAGAACTGATAAGGCACAATAATAAGTTAGACGGTAAATACATTGCATAATAACAGTAAACATTCATATTTTCTAAGGGGAGTGTCTACGAGGCCATTGAAGTTCAGCTGTTTACTGAAACATAAATATGTATATAACTAAATAAAGATGAATCGTGCTCTTTTTTCATTTAAATCAATGTTTAATGATAAGTGTAGGGATTATAGTGAGTTACTAAGTTAAATTATCGAAAATAATGTAATACCCTAAAGTGAAGAAACCATAAAAAATAAATCTCGGAACATTTCTTACATTGGATTATCATATCTTGTTGCTGTATTTTTAACAGCTATTCCTTCACCTAATGTTCTGTTGTTTTTTTTCGGTAGAAAGAATAATATTACATGAATTAGGACAATTAAACTTTTTTAGTTCAATTCATAGAAAACCTGGGAGTACTGGACGACCATTTCGTCATAGTACGGGACTCATCAGCAGTGCGCATCCACGATCCCGCCTCGCGAGATTCGAACCCAGACCCATGCGCGAACGCTGAACCACTAGACCACTGAGCCGGCTAGCATCCAATGGTGTTAATGACTAACTCCAACTCATCCACGAAATTGAGCGACACATCCATCATTGTCATCAGTGAGCTACTATCTCACAACAGACCTGGTTGAAGTTCACTGGTCACGGATTCTCACTAGAACTCCAGGAAATACCTGTTGAAGCCAGTCACTGGTGAGCAGATGATTATTATTATCAGAACCGGGTTTTGTCGAGGTTTTTGTAAATGAGAACAGGGGAGAAACATGCATTAAAAGAAATGAAAATAAGTTCGATTTTTCTTGTATATCATGTAAGTAAGCTTAGTATAAAGACGAATTTATTTTTTCTTTTTTACACAATCCTTGGCGAAGAGTTTTATTCTTGAATTATGATTCTAATAGCATCATATAAGTCTTTCATAACTGGTACCTTGACATTGTATACTCACTAGTGACTGGCTTCAACAGATATTTCCTGGAGCCTGGTGAGAATCCGTGACCAGTGAACTCAACCAGGTGTGTTGTGAGGCAGTAACTCACTGAATACAATAATCGGCAGTGGTGCAATATCGTGGTTGGTTGAAGTTGGACATTAACACCATTGAATGCCAGCTCAGTGTCTAATGGTTAAGCGTTTGCACGTGAGGCTGATAGGTCCCGGTTCGAGTCTCACGGGGGGGGGCGGGATCGTGAATACTCACTGCTGATGAGTCCCATACTATGACGAAATGGCCGTCCAGTACTTCCAGATTGTCCATGATGGTCTATCATTAATTGATTCATGAATTCAACTATAAAATTACTAAAATCTCCACAAAACCCCTTCTGATAACAGTTAAATTTCTTTAAAAAACAAACTGTACATTTTAGAATGATTATCTTTGTTTGAATTAATGCAAATAACATCGAAATTTGGATATTCATATATTATATATTTTGATTTTATAAATTAACGATAATGAACAGTAATAAGAGAAGTATCAATCTTATGCAACATCCTGTAAAGTTACTTTTACTCATCATTAACTGATCATTTATTTGTGATGAATGTTAATGTATAGCCATCCTACTAATTGTGCATTCACTTCTGGTATATTTACATTCATATTGATTTTGACAGTACAAACCTTTGTTAGTCAGTGATGTTAACCTTTCAGGTATGAGTAATTTCCAGTTGAACTAAGATATTATCATTAAATGATCATTTAATAATGTAAGTCATCATCAAATCCATGAATAGTGACTATATATAATAATTTATGAAGGCAGAAATTTATTATTAATCTGTTATTGAAAAATTATCAGATTTGACAAATCCAATTACATACCTAATGTTTATCAATAGCTCACTTAAGAGTTGAATATTATTGCTATTAGTGGCTTTATTCAATATGATATTTTTGGCACAATATAGAATTCTCAGCACAAATTATTTCAGTGAGTTTCCATTTCTTATTTCTTGATTGATGTTTGCGATAAATATTCAGTGGTCGCCAGTTCGATGTTAGCAGTTTAAGAATCGACTTGTGAATAATGTATATTCTTTTCGATACATATTACCAACAACCATGATGTCTCTGATTTGGCTTTTTTGTAACTTGTACAGTGAAATGTCGTAAACTTTTCACAAACGCACCTGAATAAGTCATCAAACTAATAGGCATAATGATGTGTTCAAACAAACAATGAAACAGATAACTTGTTGAAATATCTAAATGTCAGGAACAAATAGCCCAGATATTCAAGCAGCCCATTTAGTCTTAGTCAGAAGCATAATTTCTCAACTAAATTTTTTTACTATAAAATCTCGTCTATGCAACTCTTAATATTCAATGCTTTAGTGTTTTAAAACTAGAATACAAAGTAATTATCCAATCCTTTCGGTTATTCATTCATTTCTTAAGTAATTTCCGGCTATAATTTGTTAGCTATTTTTATTGAAAAAACTAATATAAATTCACTTGGTATTGCTTGTTTGAATCTTCCTATTGGTGTTTTAGACTGCAATTGATCAGTCTCTTATTGACATATGTGTATCCTATTCGTATTACCTCGTTATTACCTTAATCCACAAGTATTATAATCGAATATAGATAGAGCTAGAATAAATATTGGTGCAGAATAATATGAATTCATTTTATTTCGTTAAGTTCTCATAATGAGTACTTTAGTGATTTTTTTCTCAATGGAATCAGTTAAGTCTTTGCTATTTTTTCTAACTTGAATCTCATGTGGTCACTCAAGATGGACTTCGCCTCGGAGACATAATCTGTTTTGTTCATTAGAACAATACTTGAGCCTTTATCTAACCGTAATATCATTATATCATCATTTCGCTTAATATTTCGTAATGCTGCTTAGTGATCTTTGGATAAAAGCTTAGACTGTGGTGTGTGTGAAACAAGATATTGGTTTTCAATATCGACTAGTTTAGATTTAAACCAGCCTTTTTTTTCTTCACTAAATGGGTGCAGTTCTTTAGTTTGATCAAAATGAATTCATATTATTCTGCACCAATCTTTGTTCTTGCTCTCTTTAAAATAATAAAAGGAACTATGTGTATGAAAATACAGATAGTGTCTAGCAATGGAATCCAGGACGTGCATTTCGTCCTATTTGGGACTCATTAACTAGATATACTTGCATCTCAGTTTTGATATTCACTCTAAGACTCGAACCCAATACCATTCACTTCAAAAACACTATCTGTGTTTTAGTGTTTCAAAACTAGAATATAAAACAATTATTCAATCCTTTCTGTTATTGATTTATTTTCCAATTAATTTCAGTTTATAATTTGTTAGCTATTCCCAGTTTTTTTTTTAAAGAAAGTAAAAAACGACAACAAAACAAAACTAGTATAGTATCTTTTTAGTATGCTTTGTAAAACTTATTTTGATATTAAAATTAAACCATAAATTATTAGTTTCTATATATATATATATATATATATAGAAATATTGTTATATGTTACGCTTCTATGATTCAAATAATAATAATAATTAAAGAAAAAGAACAAAAAGAAAAAGAACAAAAAGAAAAAGAACAAAAAGAAGAAAAGGAACAAGAAAAAGAAGAAAAGGAACAAGAAGAAGAAAAGAACGTATCATTATTTTTGTTTATATTTATAAAAGAAATACTAATGAATTCAATTCATTAATTTATTGAAATGATTCACATAAGAAAGAAGCATATCCATATACAGAGAATTAAATTAACACCATGCATATGAACAATTAAATTCATTTCATTTTATTATTTATTTATTGTAACAAAATAAGTTTTTTTCATTTTAGTTAAACAAAAAAGTTTTTTTATTGTTGTATTTAGTATCAAGTATGGAAAACCAACCAATAAGTATGATCATGTTGTTTGTTTGTTTGTTTTACATCTTAGGAGAATCATTGTCATTATGAACTAAGGGAAACCTATCTAATCATCTGTCCTATATATATATATATATATATATATATATATATATATAATATATATATATTCTGTTTAGATTATGACTCTTTCAATAAAGATAATTTGAGCAATGAAAGTTTTTTATAAATAAGTCTTATCCAATCCCTGTATAGTAGATTCTTTTTAATTTGATAGGATAATTGTATATTTATATTTTATTAGTATTCCCCTTTTAAAGAAATAAGATATTTATAAAATAAAAATGATTCATGACAAGTCATTTATTAATGATAAACTTTCATTTATCTTTTATAAATGATAATTAGCTAAAGATTGATAGAAGCTATTGAATTGACTAATTTATATTAAAATAGAATCATGTATTATAATAATTATCAAATTGTTCGTATTATTATTGGATGTATAGGAATATTATCAATATTATCACATATTATATCAGCAATATTATGGATTGCATATATTATAGGTTGGAGAATAATACGTAAATTAAAATATATACAACAAAGACAAGAAATTAATCAACATTCATCTATGACACCTTATTCAACAATTACAAATACAATATCTTATAAAAACAATGTAAATGTACAACAACAACAACAACAAAGCAAATCTGTAAAATTATGTAAACAACATTTAATATGGCCAATATGTTCATTAAGAATGTCTACACAAATTATTATATTATCAATGGAAATGATTAATATAATAGGTTGTTTTGATTTAATAAGATTAATCTATTTATCAATAACTGGTAATGATTTACGTTTATTAACAAATGATTGGTTATGTAGAATACAAATATTTTTATCATTTATAAGTTGTGATATATCTGGTTGGCATTTTGTATGTTTATGCATTGAACGTTGTTATATAACATTATATCCTAAAAAATTATATAGTATGAATCATGATTCTATAGGACCAGCATTATTAATGATTATCATTGTTTATATAATAAGTATATTATCAAATATATTTTTATTAATTACAAAACAACCAATATGTTCTGGTATATTTAGAAATAATTTCATTAATATAATAAAATTTTCAATTACATTTATTATACCAGTATTAATTGTTACTATATCAACTATTATTATGATTATTGTATTAATTAAATGGAAATTAAATAATAATAAATTTGACATAAAAACATTCTCTTATCATAATCATTCAATAACAATTAATAAAACAATCAATAATTCAATGAATAAAAAACAAACATCAAATCAATCATTAATATATAGAAATTCAATAAAAAATCAATTAAAACATAAAAATTTAATTCATTATTCAAATAGAAAACAATCAATATTTATAAAATTAATTATATATAATACATCAGCTAGAATAACTGTAGCTAAAATGATGTTAATTTGTGCTATTTTATATTTAATTAATTTATTATCATTATTTTTATTTGGTTCAATTTATGATGATTATTGTTGTTTTTTAATAGCAAAAATTAATAATCATTGGAATGATAATTTATTTAATTTAATGTCTATATTATATTGGTTTATACAATCAATAACTAGTTATGTATTAATGTTAGGTGCTATTAGTATAAGACATGATATACAAATTATGATAAAGTATATATGGTATAATATTTTTAAGAGAAATGAATAATACTACTGCTATTACTATTACTACTACTACTACTAATAATAATAGTAATGTTAATCAATAAATTGTTGTTATGCTATTTCTTTATTTTTTTTCAATATGAGTGTCATCATCTATTTTTATTGATTTTTTTTCTTTTATATTTCTTCACTTCCCCCTTTTTTTGTTCGTTTCTTTGTTTGTTTTGTTCTATTCTTTTGTTCATTTTTGTCACCAAGAAACCGGATTATTTAGTTATTTGTTGTTAAATGAAATATTGAGTTACTATATAATGTACAGTAATTCAATGTTAATTATTTGTCATTTATATTGTCTAGAATTGTTATGTAATAAATGTAGATGACTTTATAAATAAAGAAAGTCTCTTAAGTATGAAAAAAGACTTGAAATAAGTTTAAAAAGTAGGAAGAAAAGTGTAAACATTCACTTAGGGTTGTTAACTTGTATTTTCCAATTGTTTAAAGTGAACGGTATTGGATTCGAGCTCTAGAATGAACATCAACTCTGAGATGCAGGTATATCTAGTTGACGAGTCCAAGATAGGATGAAACGCGCATCTTAGATTCCACTACTGCTATCCATCTTTGCTTATAAAAACATAAACAGTTTAATTAATAATCTATCTATAAAAAGGATAGGATTTAGTCAATTAGTTGTCGAAATAGTATTAGAACAATATAAAGCCGTTCGATTATTGATGAATGTTGAATTGTATAACGACTTAACTAACTAGTGAAAAAACTTGGACTAAATAATTATAATCCAAATTCACTTGGTATTGTTTTCTTGAATATTCCCATTGAGGTTTAGGACTGTAATTGATCAATTTCTTATTGCCATATGTGCATCCTGTACATATTGCCTCGTTATTGCCTTAATTCAAAAGCTTTATAAGCAAAGATACATAGTGCCTGGCAGTGGAATCCAGGGTGAACATCAACTCTGAGATACAGGTGCATTCAAATGACGAGCCTCAAATAGGACGAAACGCGCGTCCTAGATTCCACTACTAGCCACTATCCATCTTTAGTTGTAATTCAACTTTTTTTAAAAAGGAGTTTAAATTATTACGCTGTAGAAGAACTTGATCGAATCTTTTACCCTATTTGAACTACTTCATTATTGTTACTTTGTCAAAGGTTTTACATAACAGATAGATCAAGGATAATAATACAATCAGTTACAGCAATATAGGTTCAAACTTTAATGGAACACAAAGTGATAGCTGAGCATATTTTGAGGGACACTAAAACAACGGGTTTGTCTAAACAGTCAAAATCTTTCTTTTTTTTATGTAGAAAACAATGCAATAAATACTATTAAATTACTTGATTTTTAAGTTTCAGGGATTAGATATTGAATGTTTAAAATTAAACATCTTACTCGATTTAGTTGATATAAACATCTGTTTGACGGAACATAAATTAGAATAGATTGACAAACAAAATTTTCTTGTGAATCATGTAATTCACTAAACCTATACAATCGTGTTTATTATTGTTTTACATACAATAATTTCAGTAGTTGAGATCATGAGTTAATCGAAGCTAGACTAACATAGAAAACCTGGAAGCATTGGATGGCCACTCAGCAGTGCGCATCTACGATCCCGCCTCGTGAGATTCGAATCCAGGACCTATCGGTCTCGCGCGCAAAGACTTAACCTATAGACCACTGAGCCGGCATCCAACGGTGTTAATTTCTAACTTCAAATAATCCATACATACAGTAGTCAATATTCATGTGGAAAAGTATTACATCATTACTAAAGATACCAAAAGGTAATGAAAAATGTAAAGTCCTGAACAAAGTTACGTAATAGACAAGCGGTAATCATAATTGAAATAATATTTAGAAGAGTGATGTGAAAAATAAATGTCCATATGATGAATATAAAAAAGGCAATGAAGATATGAATACTTATCAAAAACAACATGCAAAATAAGTAGATGGATGTTACTAATGTGCTAAAATAAAGGATTAGATGTACCGCTTCTGAACACAAAGAACAGATTGATTTTGAATTCTTGAAGACCATGCTACATATAAATTTCTTGTGCAACCTCCTTTAAGTAAATTCATCAGAATTTCTGGATAATTTCGACTGAATATTCTTGTGAAATGATAGAAGACCAAAATTAAATGGATTTTCAGTAATAAAATTATTATAATTGAGATCATGAACCGATCAATGTGGGACCATTATTGGATATCTGGAAATACTGGACGGCCGTTTCGTCCTAGTAGGGACACTTCAGCAGTGCTCACCCACGATTCTGAACGCGGGACGCAAGCCCAGGACCTTCAGTATCGCGCGAACATTAAAACACTAGACCACTGAGCCGGTAGTCCAATAGTGTTCAAGTCTAACTGCAATCAACCTACGATATTGTGTGACCATCTTCCACACAATTTCTGATTGATTTGAACTAACCTTAAGATAGCCATACTGAGAAATGTTTGAATATATGTCTGGAAAGAACATGTTTTTGCCACCAATGCAACATACTCCATAAAAGTACATAAACCGATAAATCTAATGTTTAGTATCCCTCACGAAGAGTAGCTAAGATTATCACGGATACGTTAGATTGACTGTACCATCAACAACATTTCCTCAAAAGTACAACACTAAAAAAGTAATGTTTTCATTATTCTTAATACATAGTCACAAGTCTAAATGCATTATGTTATAGTGACTAGTTTATGGTTAATAGGGAAAATAAAAAAAGATGTTAATTCGTGTGAAATAGCTTCACATTTTTAACATTAGAAACTTAAACAATTTTAATCATGTGATGTAGAGAATTACGTTGAAAATAACTAAGTGTGCTAAATGACAACATAAAAGTGATATTATAAATTAACTGTTTTACCCAAAACAGAAAGAATACTAAGAAGACCGAATATCAAGTTCAGACAGAAGGGTGACTAAAAGGTCTATATGTAAAAAAATAATTGTTGCATCTTCCTAAATGGTCTAAATTTAATCCAAAGATTATTGCAATGGAAATTATAACACGTTGTTCATTACCACAATATACTTACTTACGCCTGTTACCCCTCATGGAGGAGCATAGGCCACTCACCAGCATTCACCCTCTAACTAAGTCCTGGGAAAATCTTTTCTAGTTCTTTCCAGTTGCTCCTCACCCTTTTCATGTCTGCTTCCGATTCCCGACGCAGTGTGTCCTTAGACCTTTCCTTCAGAATCCCAAGTTAGGGCTTCCTCATAGTACAGTTTAATGATTTCTGTAATGTATGCCCTATCCACTTCCAACGTCTTTTCCTAATTTCCTTCTCAGCTCGAAGCTAATTTGTTTTCTCCCATAGTAGACTGTTGTTGATAGTATTCGGCTAACTGAAATTCAGTATCATACGTAGATAGTTGTTTGTGAATGCTTGTACTTTTTGATGAGGGTTGTAGTAGTTCTCCAATTCCCAGCTTCATACAGTTGAACTGTCTTGACGTTCGTACTGAAGATTATGACTTTGATATTGGTTGACAATTGTTTCGAGTTCCGTATATTCCTCAACTGTAGGAATGCAGCCTTTGCTTTGCCAATCCTAGCCTTTATGTCTGCATCAGATCCTCCTTTTTCAATGATGATGCTGTCCAGGTACGTGAACTTTTCTACCCTTCCGGAGTTTCTGCATCAAGTATGAATGAGTTGATGCTTTCGGTGTTTTATTGAAGATCTTGCTTTTTCTCCTGTGTATGGTAAGGTCTACTCTTACAGGGTTCGATCACAATACACTTAGCAGGAATTAAACTTGTAAATACAAATCAGTAGTTATTCTGGAGCTGAAAAAGTTTTCTTAAAATTCAAATGAACTATTTGTATGATTGATGTAACAGAAACTTCTTAGAATGAGATATTGTTATCTATTTTAAAGAATTATCATAACGAATTTCATTACAGAAACACTTACAACACTAAATAAATTTTACGAAAGATATACCGAAGAACAGTATTGTTTTCGGCTAGATATTCATTAGGCTGAACTGTGATATACAATATAAATAATCGCGTTTCACTACCGTCATGTTTATCTATTAGTTTATCTGTTTTTATAAAAATATCTGACTACTATCGAAAGGATAAGTGAAAGCGATAATTACTCGGCAAGGCCAAATAAAGCCAATACGTAACACTGTATTATTCTACTTGATCGATAAAGTCAATATACTGAATAGAAAGAAAGTAAATAAAATCATTTATCTTATTCCGTCAATTTTTGAAATCATCATCCCTACTCTTTTTTCAAACATAGATAACTTTATAGAAGTGTAAACCAACAAGATGTGCCTTTGTAAACAAAGCAGCATCTTAATAGCCTTGTCTCAACTATGTGTGGAAGAGACTCGTTAACTGAACTAATTGATATTCGTTAAGGTTTTTATTTACCTGTTATATGTGGTGGATTGAATCTGATCAATCCCACTAATATCTGAACTTCTTAAACGAATCATTCATTACTATGGGCAGTAGTGAAATTCACGATACATATTCCATCTTATTTAGTACCCACCAGCTGGGCATACTTGTAGGTTAGTGCTTCTGTTTGTACTGACACTTGGAAGGCATCAGGCTTTTACCAGTCAAGTTTTGAGAGGAATCTCTAGCTTGAATGATTTCTCCTTTCCGGTGACGGACAACCCTATCGTTAAAAATTACTTCTTAATGGTACTGAGTAAACTATTGTATTTCATAAGAATTTCATACAGATATTGTAGTGAAGGAGAACACTAGTGGGGACAATCGAATGTATTTTACACTAAATTACAGAGTGTCTCAATAAAATCTGAAAACCATATAGTAAATCGTTAATTTGCAAAATATCAATCCGTCGTAGAAAACTTGACTGTTCCTGTTGCAAATATCAATCCATTGTCTCAGATTTCATTGTTCATCCGTTTTCATACCAATTACGTTCCGTTTCCGTTTTTTCTTCATCGACCTTCTACTGAAATACATTCTATGTCTGAACACCATTATATA